GGGCACACAGTGAGTGCCACCGTCTCACAGACTTTATTAAAATCTCCAAATTTTGCCATTGTTTATATATTATTTTTTTTGGAAAAAAGGTTTGTAGTCACTAAGAATAAAGGAAAGTTTTAGGTATAAAGAGTGTAAGTTGGGGGGCGATAAAAGAAATAACTTTTTTTTATTTAAAAAAAAAAAGGAAGTTTCCTATTTATCTCTAATTTTCCCCTTTTAGAAATAATATCACGTTAAAAAGAAAATGATTCAGGATGATTAAATTAAATTTTTTTAGGAGGTTTGTTTCGAAATATATAAGAAAATAAAAATAAAATATTTTTGTTGTCTATATATACAACCTTTGCGCATAAAGAAATAATTGTCTGCACAAACGGGATTTGTGTATTATTCAATATAATGTCAAATGAAAGATCATCATATTTGGAAATCCAATTTGTTGGTGTAAAAAAAGATATCTGTGTATTTTTGTATTGCAGCTTATGAAAATACGAATGAAATAGCGTTAATTACCTTTTTTTTTTTGTTTTAACTTTTTTTCCATGCGAATTTAAAATTAAATTGTTCGATTAAAAGATAAAACAAAAAAATTTCTAAAATGAATTAATTTCTTATAAATACCCCATATCGCAGATATAGACGTGTAAAAGGATTCTAACTCTTTGAATATGGTTTTACCTTTTTCAATCACGTGACTTTAAAGTGGAACGACGAGATCACGTGAACTTTTAAAATCGATAGGTATAAATATTAAAAAAAAAATTGATTTTTTTTTTCCCTTCTTTTCTTTTAAAAAATGGTTTCAACTAATGTTCAAGTAAGCGTTAACTTATTTATAAAAGGAAATGAATAGAAGTTTCTTTTAAGTCTGTATAATTATTAAGTGTGGAAAACGAGCAATAAATTCCTACATTTTTTTTGGTAAAAATATAATAGGTTGCTCGATGGACTGCACTAGCCCTTGGGATTACTTATGGTTTTGTTCGTAAAAAATCATTGGTTAGCTCTGAGGCAAAGAAAAAGGAGATAGCTGAATATAAACATAAAGAGGCACTAATTAATGAAGCTAAAGCTGCGTATGCCGCTTCAATTGCATCTAAAAATCTCGATGGTATAGTATATATTTATATTATTTTTTTTTACTTTTCAAATTTTTCCTATGAGAATAGAAATTATGATTTATAACTTTCACGGAGAATAGGTATTATATAAGATATGTTTTAGTGAATATGTACACTTTTGAATTGTAAAATTATACAGATGGATTTTGCTTTATAAGAACATAGGATTGAATTCACTCTTTGGATTAAGTTACTGTCATTTCTATCATTTAAATCGTTAACAATTATAGATTTTAAACGCTTGCTCTAATCAGAATATGTTGAGAACAAATCTAATTATTATTATTATTTTTTTCCAGTCATAACAGATCCAAATGATCCCAACTTTGATTTAGAAAAACTTCTTAAACATGCCGAAAAACAACAATAGCAATAGAATAATATTAATGACAATAATCAACCATTTTCCAATTTTTTTGGAATGAATAAAAAAGAAAAAAAAAGGAATTAGAATTTTTGTTTGTTTAATGGTTAAAAACACTAATTTTCCTTTTTAGGACATTTTTGTGAGGATTTTAAATTATTAAACGTATATTTTTATGTTGAATTAAATAAATTAGTTAGGTAATAACAATCAAAATTTTATTCATAAATCCATAAAAAAAAAAAAATTTAAAAAAAAATAAAAAAAGGTACAGTTAAATGTTAAAAGATGACCCAACTCATTAAAATTTTAATAATGAATCCAAAAGATTACATTGATCTACATATATGTATAACTAGTATAATGAAATATCAATATATATTTATATAGTTGATAATAGTATAAAACAATCTTTACACTGGCTAATTTTAATCGTAAGTCATTACTTTGATTAATGTATTTAAGAATTATTAACATTAACAAGTGAATTTGATAAACCTGCTGCTTCTACAGTTTCATCGACATGGTTTATCAAATTATTCCTGTGACAAACAAGCTAATGCGCGAGAAAGACGACAAAAAAAAAATTTATATAATCAGGATTGGTTGACCTTTTTAAAAGTGCGTTATATAAATGTACAATATAATACCTCAAATTGCTGATTTTTCAAGTTAGGAACTGTCGCTTTAATGAACTCGAATAAATATCGGACAGGATCCAATTTTTCAAACCGCCGAATAATCGTTTGTCCGTCTTTGATTAAATCCTTCGTTTTAGTTAAAAATATATATATATAAATACAAGTTCCACGTTAATTACCTGCCAATCGGAATTTTATCATTGCTGATGTAGGACCTTGGGCTTCTTCCCTTTCAACAGGTTGAATGGTATCAAAAGTCGAAACAGGTTCTTCTATAAAGGAATTAAATAAATTAATTGTTTAGATAAGAGCAACTATTCTAAAAACAAATTATAAAATTCATACTTACCAGGAATTGAGTCCACTTCAGTCACATTTTCGATTTCCATATCATCATCAGATTCAGATGCAAAATCTATTTGCTTGGATGTTTGAACTTCAACATTTTTATTGTTATAATTAAGTGATTCTTCCATAGCTGCCCTTAACTGTTCTTCTTCACTCATTTCCGATAGTGGCTATAATCGAATGAAGTTAAGTTTAATGAAGTTCTTTTAATATATAAACTGAAATTAAAACAGAATTACCTTTTTCGGTGTGGAAGTCGGCTTCATTGGATCAGTCAACGAATAGCGCTCCAAGAAATCCGTAACTTTTGAAAAAAAAAAATACAACCACGAAATTTTCAATCAATCATTTTTAACGCGTTACCATTAATGAACAAGAGGATTGCTTACCACCGATTAAAAACTCGGTGGGTTCCGTCTGGGTACTCCATACTTTTACTCTTTCACCTGTTGGAAAATAAAAAATAAAAAATTAAAGGTAAGATTCATATATATTAATAATCGATGTGTAAACAAGAATTAATCCTGTGAAAATTTCTCAGTCCTACCCGTTCTTGGATCAATAATCGCAATATGCGGATAATTTTCAATAGGATAGAAATTTATGTATTGTTGTCCGTCAGGACTGTCTGAATTATACTAAGAAATATTAAATTTTAAATAAATATAAATATAGATAGATAGATTAAGTAATTGAATTGTGAATTTTTTTTTTTTAAAAAGAAAATTGTCTATTTAACTTACCTGAAGGAAAAGAAAATGTGCTCTAATCACGTCTTTAACTGTTTTGTCTGTCCACAAATCACGATTGAGAAGTTGACTAGAAAATTCTTTTATATTTTGGATATCAACCATTAACCATTTGCCATCATTTCTCGCTATGATCCGTGTCTAAATTGAAAATATCTTTTTAAATATCGAAGAAATTCATAAAATAAACTTTTTTAAAATCAAAAAAAATTTTTTTAATTACTTTTTCAAAGTTTTCTTTATGTATGATATCGAAAGGCGGACTAAATAAATCAGCCAACCTAGTTGCCTCGGAAGACACTACAAATTCATTTGATCACTCATCATTCTTATCATTCTTGTCAATTTTCAATGTTAAAAAGGAAAATTTTTATTATACCTATTCGATGAGGAATAACGTCGCCTGCAAAATTTCGATGAGTGTAATCACGTGAGCGACGAGTGCGTGGTACATCTCTCCTAACTATAACGTGGAACAGTCCCAAAGTCCAAATTTATAAATAAGGGAAACTTTTATAGTTCTAAATGAATTCAAAACAAAAAAAAAGAAAGAAAGAAAAGGGTCCCTACTCATTCCACCGTCACGACCGTTGTCTTGATCACCAACAAGTATGTCGCGTTTTGGCGCTATGGGAGGTCGAATTGTAGAATCTTCTTGAGCAATTGCCTTCGCTAATTCAGCATCGCTGTCAAATGTGCTTGTTTTCCCAGTGTCTGTGGAGGTCGCTCTTGATGGAGACAGTTGAGGACTCGTAGAGGTAAGAGCGGCACCAAAAGCATCAGAAAGATCAGCACCGCCACTCTCCAAGTAAAGAGAAATTGCTTGCTCAACGTTACCGTCGGACACCTATTGAGTTTCGCGAGTTATAAAGAAAATGAAAAGTTACTTATATAAATTATTTAATACTTCTACAAACTTTTGAAATGTTATTTACCATTAAATAGTTTAATGCAACTTCATGACTCGTGTTTGTAACGCTACAAAATTTTCTTATTAATGCTGCTTCGTCATTCATTTTAACAATGCTTCTTTGAAAGTAAATAATAATAGCGAGCGAGAATTTTTGTTCTTGCAGTTGTAATATCAATAATATCAATTATATGCCTTATATCCGTTTATGGACAGTATACGTAAGTAAGGTGTACGTCATGGACCAAAGTAAGGCTGCTCCGGGTCTTCAAACCCCTGTGGTTTGATACAAACCATCAATTTTCAAATGATCAATGATAAACCATCATTGTATGTTTGTTTTTAGTGATGCAAGACAAAAAATTCAAAGTATTAGAACGTCAAAGGTTGGATAAGGAATTTGATGTATTGAAACACAATTTCTTTATACGGCAATTTATATTTATTATAATAATCTTTTGAAGAATTTTTATATATTTTTATCATATATCCTTTTTGTTAGGTGTCTAACATTACAGACTTTCGCTGCAGTTTTTCGATCTCTTTAGAATCGATTCCGATATCCTCCGATTTAAATAGGTTTATCCGGTGACAAATGAATTGACTTACCATGAAGGTGACCATTGTTACATTTTGATATAAATCATGATGTAGTACATACAAGTATTGGTATTTCTTTTATTATGAAAAATAAAATAAATTTAAATAGTACTAAGAAAGTAAAAATAACAAATTCTAAACCAAACCGAATGCTTCTCGAACTAAACTAGTAATTTTATAAAAGTTGTAATAAATACATACGTAAAATTGGGTTAAATATCTAAAAATAATTTATAAATATAGGAATAGGTAGAATAATTACTTTTATTCATTAATGGCTTTCTCTCTCTCTCTCTTATTTTTTTTTATTTTTATTTTTATTTTAATTAATTTTTTGTTACTCGACAGTTACCTGTAAAGTTTGAAGAAAATTAATTGATTGATTGATTAATTGATAAAGTTTTTAAGAACATAAAAGTAAACTTACCGATTTAGCTAAATTTCGTGGGAAATCAACGTCAACTCCATGTAGAACGGCCAAATGATATGATAATATCTGCAAAGGAATGATTGTAATAAGTCCTTGCAGACAATCAACCGTCTGTGGAACACGGATTGTCTTGTATTGACTCGATATACCCTCATCTCCATCATTACAGATAATAATCGGTTGACCCTTACGAGCCGTAACTTGTTGAAGAGCACTTTGTACTTTCTATTATTGTGGAAAAAAAAAGAAACATCATAGCGTGAGACTTATTTTATGGATTGAATTATAAAATCGAATAAAGAAAATCGACGTACTGGATACAGAGAATCTTTAGTCATTATAAGGATAACAGGCATGTTTTCGTCAATAAGGGCCAAAGGACCGTGTTTTAGTTCACCAGCTAAGATACCCTCGGAATGCATATATGAAACTTCTTTGATCTTTAACGCGCCTTCTAAACATGTAGCGTTTTGGAAGCCACGACCCATGATCAAAAGACTTTTTTCTTTATAAAGTACATCTTTGGCAAGTTGTTTTAATTCTTTGTCAATACTTAAAACATTTTGAATATATTCGGGTAATTTTTTAAGCTCATCAATGATGCTTTTTCGTCGCTGAGTCATGGATGAACGATCCTCGCTCAATTGAATAGCCATCATGACCAAAGCAATAAATTGTGAGGTATATGCCTAACATATTAGGATAAATATATGGATAAGTATGTATTAATGCATGATAAAAAATTTATTATTAAACCAAAGAAATACATTGTACCTTGGTTGAAGCGACTCCAATTTCCGGACCCGCATTGATGTGAACACCACAATGCGTCTCTCGAGAGATCGTTGAACCGACAGTGTTGGTAATACCAAGACAAAGAGCTCCACGTTCAAGACAATATCTTAAGGCAAGGATTGTGTCTGCCGTCTCACCGGACTGTGATACGAAAACACAAACATCATCTCTGAATATGGGAGTCTTTCTGTCCAAAAAATCACTTGCTAACTCTACAGAGACAGGAATTTCTGTCAATTCTTCGAAAATGGCACGAGTCTACGAATATATTCATTTCAGATAGATTAGTATGTTGGTAATCAAATGTTTCAAGAACTTTCTATTTCTTTAAATAAAACTTACAGCAACGCAAGAATGATAACTTGTACCACAAGCGCAAAATACTATACGCCTGCAACGTCGAATAGTTGCTAAATATGCTTTAAGACCACCTAGGGTAACTTTATGACTTTCAAAGTTAACGCGACCACGCATAGTGTTTACTACTGATTCAGGTTGTTCAAAAATTTCCTTTTGCATAAAGTGATCGAAAGAACCTTTCATAATTTCAGCCAATTCGATCTCCAAAGTTTGAATAGAACGAACAGCTGATATTCCGTCGTCACGTCTTAGGCGATGAATATGAAGTTCTATTATAATAATAATATTTATAAGTGGAATTAATTAAATTAATTTTATATTTATCTGGTTACTAAAGATCATTACCTCCGTCACTAATGTGAGCAATATCATCATCCTCAAGATAAAGTACGCGTTTGGTATGTTCAACGATAGCAGAGGGATCGGATGCAAGGAAGTATTCAATTGGTTGGGGTAAACCATCTTCGCTTAAGAAGGCGCGTGATTGACTGCGTCTAAGTTTAGGATGTCCGTCTGTAGGGGATAATAAATTTCCATCTACTTTTTCCTCGGTTGGCGCAAAGGCAGAGTCTATATTAAAAAGGTTAAAAGAAAAATAATTTTTTTTCATGAGATTAATTCATAAAAAAAAAAGTGTGTATACATTTATATGGCATCTCAAAACAAAAATATATATATCTCTTACCTGTACCAAATTCTACATCGACAAAGTCTACTTTTAATTTTTTTTCGGTTTTGACGCCAACTAATAAAGGAGATCCACGACGCGTAGCAACAACTTCATTAGGGAAACGTACACTCTTGAAGATCAAGGCAAAAGCACCTTCCTGTACGATCACGCGTATTTTATAAATTAATTATTGTAAGGTTAATAAGGTTCATTAAAATAGGGATCAAATGTAAAAGATATTTACCAATTCCTTAATAACACCTTTAACAAGAGCGGTGAAACTCAGATTTTCATTAGATTTTTGAGAATCATACAAATATTTTGCAAGTTTGGCAACGGCTTCAGTATCAGTTTCCGATTCAAACATATAACCTTTTTTCTCGAGGACAGTTTTCAATTCTTTATAATTAGTGATGATACCGTTATGAACTACGGTAAATTCACCACTTGGGTCGGAACGATGAGGATGTGAATTTGTTGGAGAAGGTTCACCATGAGTAGCCCAACGAGTATGAGCCATACCACAGTGGCTAACAAATTCCTTTTCAAAGTCAACAGTTGCCTCAGAAACGAGTTTTTTTACAGCAGCAACCTTGCCAACTTGTTTGTAGATGAGTACATCGTTAGAATCTCCATCGATTGCTAAACCTGCGGAATCATAACCACGGTATTCAAGACGAGCCAAACCGCTAATAAGGGTATTAGTGATAAATCTTCGATCTTTGGCGACAAGGTAGTTAAGGTAAGCAAAAATACCACACATTTTGATCTAATTTTATATTAAATAAAAGATGGATATACTTATATGAAGATAAGGGATAAAATGTAGGGAATGAAGAGAAAAGAACAAGCAAAGAGTGGGTAGGAGGACACTTTATATATTTGCACAACCCCTTTTTTTTCGCTTTTTGCCCACGATTGGAGTACAAAAAAAAAAAAAAAAAAAAAAAAAAAAAAAGAAAACTTTGTCAGTCAAAAGTTATCTGAATATCAATTAATTTCGTCACACCTGATTGAACTCTTGTAATGTGTAACTTGCCTATTCTACCAAAATCAGATCACATCTCTTTTGAAGAATAATAATGTTAAAGTTAGTAGTTGCAATTTCTAGGCGTTAATGTAATGAACGGGAGAGCGCAGAGCGCATAGTGCAGACGGGGTAGCAGGCATTTGATTTCGATTTGATCTCTTAAAAATCTAAAAATAATTTTTGCCGAATTTATCAGAGGAATACAAACAAATCATGCAAGGTGGATTTTTGTCAATCGACTCCGAGCCAAACTTAAATCCAAAGATAATGTGCATAAATGCTTAGCGTAACTGGTTGGTGCAAATCATGCAAATGTAATATTGCGAAATAACCGGCGCTTGTATTAAAGACTTTGTCAACCTACCAGTATCTAGTGCGAATGATATTATTATCCGATTTTGCCAATTTATAGTCGGAAACCTCTCAATTAGTACCCTGCAGTGCAATTATTCTCGTACAAATTACGGAACATTCCGGCGATATTTATTAATGATTTGTTTCAGTTCAGTTTGAAAAAGATATAATTCAAATATATAGTCGATAAGTAATAATTAAGGTTACACATTATATGTATTTTTACAAAATATTGCAAAAAATGTATCAAAACAGATTATATTTAAAAAAAAAAAAGTAAATTAAGAATTAAAATTTTCAAGAATAATATTAAATACATAATATAAAATACAGATAATAAGATATTATAATAAAATAGTCATAAATAAATAAAAGAGAAAATATTTAAAAAACTAAATTAATTTAACACAAAATAGATTTTTTAAATTATAAGTCGTATAATATAATGATATAATTTAATATTCTTATTCCTTCAATTGTTTTGCCTACAAATTTGCAAGCAATTTTATTTATAATTACAATTATTTTTAATAATTTAAAATATTTTGTCAAAAGAATCAATACTTTATAATAATTTATAATGTTTTCTAAGTAAAAATTTAAAAAAAATGTAATTACCTAGTGATTTTTTTAAAGATAAATAAGTAATAAATTATTATAAAAAAAATTAAAATTGTAAATTAATATAACTTGCTATCTATCAATCTCAGAAATATAA